AGAAAATGTGTAATGAAAATAAAATGTAAATGACAAGTGGTTATTTTAGATTTCTTGTACACCTGTCTTAAAATGTAAGGGATACTGGAGCTTGGTTGGGGTGGAGGGATGGCTCGCGGTGGGTGCCGGAAAATTTCCCTTATTTCCCTTATTTTCAAATCCAAAACTTGACAGGTATGCTCTATAGACACACACTTTCTGGGCTTTCCTGCTTTTGCGGTCTGATTCCTTGCAGATGGACATTATCAATGCTTTCCAGAGTGGAACGTCCTTTCAGGGATCTCAACGGTGCCAGCTGTCCAGCACCATCTGTCCAGTGCCAGCTAAACCAAATAGCGTAACTGATTTTGTAGCTCTGCACATATAGTATGGCCCTTTGCTACTGAGGGTATTAGCGGGCATGAGTGGGTGCATGAAGTGGCTGTTTTCTCTGAAACTCAGACTGCCACTTTTGGTTGTAAGCACAAGCTTTTTGTGTGAAAATTATGCACGGCTTTTCTTATTTGTGAACTCTGTGTTTCATTTATATGCAGCCATTCTAATGCTGGCCCATGACTTAATTAAAGAGTGGTGTAATTATTACCTAAAATATCACTATAATATAGTCTCATTATAATCCCATTGACCTTGTAAAGCATGGTTCAGTGGAGCTAATTTAAGCATAAACAGGAAGGAAAGGTGTCGGCAGTGTGTTATTAGTATACTACACAGAAATTACATTCCTTCAGTGCTCTAGTGCTTCCCCAGTGGAAAAACTAAGTAGAATTTTTATATCACTGTGTCTGTATTCCAAAATGCTTTGCTGGATTATTATTTTTAAGTTCATACAGGCCACATGACACAAGCTGTGTTCAGCCCACTGGCTTTGAATATCTGACTGGCTTTTGATTATCAATTTTTACATGACAGTAAATGATTAAGAAACATTGGAAATGTTTAAAATTGAGCTTTCTCTAAACTTAATTTAGTTTATATTATATATTACAGTACTATATTATATGCTGACAAGAAGGGGCCAGTGGGCAAAATTAATTATTATAATCTCAAATTTTCATAAATGTAAAAAGCTGAAATAAACACACTTACTAGAAGGTTGGACAACTTAACCTTCTTTTATCATTTGAATAGTTTTTACTATGAAAAAATCTGGAGAACATACTGTGTACATACTTCAGTTGAAACTGGTTTTAATAATTATTTCAGAAAGAGTTGATATAACAAAATGCTGTTTTATTATTGTGCTTTGACATTTGCCATTTCATTCTGTCAGACAATTAACATTTTTAAGCCAAAACAAAACTACCATGGTGTTTTGGTCACTGCTTTGGGGTTGACTCTTTTAAATATATTATTTTACTCTCTGTATGTTTGGAATGTTTGGGATGGACAATGTTTTCCCTTAATTAAGATGCTCATTGATGGATATGTTAGTCAAGAAATTATTGTCAGAAAGAAAAATCTTAACCCCAGGAAAAAAACAGAAGATACAATACTGAGGAATTTAGTGATTGATTCTACTTTTATAAGATACTCTCATATATGGCACAGTGGGTCAGTGTACCTATTTTTACAGTCTACCACATTTGGATCACCAACAACTGAACAAAGCATAGCGGTACGTCCTGTGGCAACATTGTCCAGTCAACATAAAAGCATAACTGAAATCAGACATTATACTAACATTTCACTAATTTGAACATTTGGTTTCTCTGAAGTGTTGTTCATCACAAAAAGGAAAAACCATAAATTTCACCCATTAACTAATCCAATAGAACAACAAAGATTGGCAAGCATTTGTCAAATTTAGTGGATTTAATTGGTGATTTTAATATCAAGCTAGCTTGCACTGTAATACAAAATATATGTGCTTAATAGTCTAATATGTTTTTTTTTACATATTTTAGCAAAACCATACACTTTCAGGAAAGGGGTTTTGCCCTGGTACAGTTTTGTTCCCCAAGATATAAACAACATCAATGTACCTTCAATGATACAAAAATGTTCCTCAGAGTCCATTTCTGTACCTTAAAAGGTACATTTAACCTAGGGCACAATGGGCAGACCCTTGAGGATATAGCCCCAGTGGCAAGTAATTGTTCCCTTAAGGTACAAATTAATACTTTTTCTGATAATTGTACACAATTCTCAGAACTCAGCTTATTGTGTTAATTGCAATATGAAACACACTGTAAAAAAAATCCCGTTGTTTTTACGGAAAAAAGCTGGCAGCTGTGGTTGCCAGAATTATTCTGTAAAAAATACTGTACAGGTGTAAACAACTTTACAGAAACATCTATAAATTGTACTGGATTTCAATGTAAAACAACCACCAACTACATGTAAAGTTTACTTGGTTTCAGTGTAGAATAAACAAC